CCCCCTCCCACCACTTCTTCCCCCTCCGCCCGCACCCCGGGAGGCCCGCGCCTGAGCCGCTGGTCCTCTTACTTGTATGGCCGCAGCCCCCCACGCGCACCTGGGCATCATCGATTCTGAACACCCAGCGCCCGGGTACGCCCACGTTGGTGGTGGTCTCCACGTCGGCCACGTCCGCCGTGCGCGAGCCGGGGATGCTGAAGTAGCGCCGCCCGTCGCCCGCGTTGAAGCCAGCCTGGGGGGAGTCGGGGAGGCAGGGCCAGGCTGGGTCCGCGGCCCACTGAAAGTTCCTGAGACCCACCGCCCGGAGCGGCCAAGGCCGAAGAGACCTTCAGAAACAGCCTTGTAGGGGGGCTCTGCAAATGTTAGGGGTGCCCTGCCCTCACCAGGCTGTCCCAGCCAGGTCCTGAATCCCACCGACCGTTCCTCCAGCCCAGCGCGGTGGGGAGGGCCATGAGCACACAGTCACCCAGCCTCCACCCCCAGTGCCCTCAGGCACTTGGGCAGTATTTGCTGGGCGTCACCCAGACCTGCAGGGTGGGGCTGTTCACAGCTGGAAGAGGCCCTCGGGTGAGGCTTGCACTGACTACTTCCCCTATTTCCTCCCAGCCCCTGCTTCAGTGCACAGGCCTGCCTCCAGAGGAAAAGGAACCCAGCAGCATCTGTCCTGCCCGACACAGGGTCAGGGCAGCAGGATCAGGACAAGGCCTTAGGGGTGAAGGATGAGCCCCTGGCAGTGTGACCTCACTGTGCAGGGGGGTTGGGGGTCTGCCTAGGGTTGAGGGGCTCCTCACTCCCGCCTTACACTATGCACCAGCCCCCATGACCTACCTGGGCCGCGATGCCCCCCAGGCCGGCGGCGTCGCCCCCGCTGCTGGCGTGTGTGCCAGTGGTCCAGGTGATAGACTCGTAGTTGAAGATGGTGAAGGAGAGCTTGCCGTCTGTGATGAGGACGATCTGGAATGTGTTGACCTGCCGAGGACAAGGCTGATGGTGCTCTGTCCCCTCATCTGGCTCCCAGGCCTGCCAGTCCACCACCCGGCACACTCTGCCACTGCCCAGTGACCCCTCACCAACGCGTCAATATCTGTCTCCCCCAGCTAGATGGTCACCCCAGGGCAGGGACCTAGACAGCTTTGTCCTCTGCCGTATCCCCAGTGCTGCTACCCAGGCACTGCCCCCCACACCCCCAGCATGACTGCTGCCTGGGGGAGTGTGTGCAGTGCACTGAGGGAGTCTGGGAGCACATGGACAAGGGACCAGACACTGTCCCTGTCCTCAAGGGGCTCCTGGGGTGGGGGTGGGGGGGAGTGCAGACGGTCATCTCCCTCTGCCAAATCCACTTGTGTGAAAGGAACAAACGTAAAAAAATAAAAGAGGAAACAAGGAAAAGCAATTTTTAATAGGTTTTCAATGGAATTCTCAAAGTCTATGAACTGTTCTCTGAAAATATGAACCCATCTGGCAGTGAAGGGTTTGCGTGTTGCTATGATGCTAACAGGCTTCAGTGGAGCTTCCAGAGTAAGATGGACTAGGAAGAAAGTGCTGGCAATCTACTTATGAAAACCCTATGGATCCCAACAGTCCAGTCTGCAGTCAGTCATGGGGATGGTGCAGGATTGGGCAGCATTTCCTTCCATTGTGCATGGGGTCGCCATGAGTGGGGGGCCAACCTGACAGCAGCTAACAACAGCAACAACCGAATAATACAAGAACACATCCAACGGCACTGGGGAGCAAAGATGTGCCATGTTTTTTAATGGCTTTCTTTTTTTGCCTGTATAACTAGCGAGGAAATAAAACAAGACAGCACTGTTAGCTTGCGTTCAGGAAAGGGCACTTGTGAGTACGGTGTGTGTGGGTATAATGTGTGCGTTTCTGAAGGGAAACCGGGATTCTGCAGGCAGCAAACCCCCCTCCCCCCAGGTCACAATGGTGAACAAAGCAATGACGGTGCCTTGTGGTGGGGAACCGGCTGTCCATCCACAGAGTCCCAGAGAAATAAATCCAGAGGCCACTGACACTGGGCCAGGCTGCAGTCATTGGAAATGACAGGCAGTCCTACGGCCCATGTTCTTATCTGTGTACCAGTGACCCACAGGGAAACTGAGCACTCTTGTTTAGGGAGCAAATGAAGCACGAATACTCTGAAGACAAATGAGGTGCCGGATGTCAAACAGGTCAGGGTTGTGTGAAGTTTGGGGGAAGGGTGGGGAGAGTTACAGTAAGGGACACAGAGATTGGGGTCGTGTAAAGTCTGGAGGCGGGGCTACAGCCAGCAGGAGGCACAGCGGGCTTCAGGAATGTGTGGGGATCATGTGGTTGACTTGGTGGTGGTTTCAGGTACTCACTTACCATGACTTGTCACACTATACACTCACAATGAACACACCTTTCTGTACATGTGCTATTTTTTGGATAAAAAGAAACACTCCAAAGCACAAAGAAAGCAGTAAAGAATAAAATGAATTGGATATGAGGCGCCCAGGTGGGAACCTAAGTCCGTGAAGCAGACTATAAAAAAAAAAAAACAAACCCATTGCCGTCGAGTTGATTCCAACTCATAGAGACCCTATAGGACAGAGTAGAAGTGCCCCATAGGGTTTCCAAGGAGTGCCTGGTAGATTCGAACTGCCAACCTTTGGGTTAGCAGCCGTAGCTCTTAACCACTGCGCCACCAGGGTTTCCAAAGCAGACCACAGACACCCTCAGATTACATCGATGAGACTAAGCCTGTCTGGGCCCCACGCCTCTGTCCAGAGTGTCAGCCCCGTCTTGTGCCCTGTCATGATTCACATGGTGCTCGGTAAACACACCCACTGCCGGGCAGGCACTGCTGGCCTCCTTAGGGGGCTCCGGGACACACAGACTTACAAGCCGGGCAAAGTGGGCAATCACTCTTGGGTTTGCCTTTTTGTTATTTGGCATTATCAAGGAACGAAGTATAAAACCATAATTCCCAATTTAACCCTTTGAATACTGAGCCATTTGTTATGGATTGAATTGTGTCCCCCAAAAAGTTATGTTGAGGTTTTAACCCCTGTACCTGTGAATGTGTCCTTGTTTGGAAATAGAGGTTTTCTTTTGTTATGTTATGCGGTCATGGACTAGGGTGCATTCTAAACCTCATTCCTTCTGAGTGGTGTCTTACAAAAGGCGAGAGCAGACACAGAGGGACACGGGGGAAGAGCTCATGGAACAGCTAAGAAACAAGTCAAGGAAGTGCTGAGGAACGGACAAGGGGGGACCCTCCCCTAGAGCCAATGCCCTGATTTGGACTTCCAGCCTCCAGAAGCTGTGAGTGAGAAATCCTTGTTCTTTAAAGCCACCCACTAGTGATGTCTATGCTGTGACAGCACGTGGAGGCTGAGACATCATTCCAAATGGGAATTCTCCCACGTACCTCACCCTGCATCCTCCCAGCAGGTGAGCTATCTACTGGGGCATCTGGTGGTTCCGGGAGGGCCGGGGAGGCTCAGGCTCTGTCACCTTGAGTGAATACTTCAAGTGTGGTTTTCTGCTCTCGGATGTGGGCCGATGGTTCTGCCCGACCACCTCAGCAAGGCTGGGGGCCCTGATCGGGGGAGACTGTGGAGCCCACTGGCCTCCCTCCCTCCCCAGGACAAATGCCGCAGACTCACGGGGGAAGAGGCGCTGCCTCCGAAGAAGGTCACCCGGTACCAGGTGGCAACGAAAGCCCAGGTGGCAGAGAAGTCCAGGAGTTCAGGGAAGTAGCGCCTGACGTCCCCTGTGGCTCTGTGCAGCGTGGCTGGATCGGTGGCCTCCCGGTAGTACACGTCACCTGCACGCCGGTTGTCCACGTCTGCCCAGAAGGCTGCCACCACACAGCGGTCCTTGGCGATGGGGAAGGCCGCCGGGGTGAACTGGGAGACCTCCTTGAGGAAGGAGATGATCCCGTTGTTGTTCACCTGTCAGGCAGAAAGCCAGAGGTGGGGGTCAGCAGGGGGCTGTGGGCAGGCAAGGGGCCCAGTGGGTGCTCTTCGTGGTGAGCCAGCCTTGGACAGGGTATCCCCATGATGGCCTGACAGTCTCCCGTCCCTGTTACAAGGCTGCTTGGCCCTGCTCCATCCCCTCCCAGAGAGGCTGCATGCCCAGGGCACAGGCTGCGAACTGTCTTCTGCACCCAGACACCCTGCAGAGTGTCCAGCCCTGGCCTGCTGCTGGCCCTGGGCAGGTAGGGCACCCAGGACTTCCCAGCAGCCCCTCGCTCCTCAGCCCAGCCAGGGGCCTTTCCCCTAAGCCCTGAGAGGGCAGGGCAGAGCCCCAGCATCTGAGCCGGCACTGGAAGGGTGAGCTGGAGGCACACAAGGAGGTGTGAAGGTAGGAACATGCTGGCATGAGCAGCGGTGGGATTAGAGGGGCCAGCACAGATGGAGGAGACTGGAAGTCCTGGATGCCAGGTGGAGGAGTTTGTTCTCAGGCCTCAGGCAGTGGGGAGCCCCGGAAGGCTTCTGAGCAGACATGAGCAGCATCTTTGAAGTCAGGCACACCTGTTCAGATTCTGACACCACACCTCGCTATCCATGCGGTTGACCATTAGGTAAGTTACCCTCTAACCTCTCTGTGCTCTGGCTTTCATATCTGCAGAACAGGGCTAATGCTAGCTCTGACCTCACAGGGTAGCGGGCAGGACCAAATGAGTTAATGGTCACAATGCCAGGCTCTATATGGTTATCATTAGCTACTGGGGAAGAATATGATCAGAACTGTGCTTTTAGAAAAGACCCATGGACTTCCCTTTCGGGTGAGGGCAGGCTATGTAATTCAGACCAAGAAACAAGGAACATAACTACATCTCTCAAAAACACCAAAGTATGAACACGCAAGTGGTAGCTTATCAATCCCAAATCGAGGACTGGGAGAGACAGTAGAGGTAAACCAAGCACTTAATGCTGATTTTTCCCTTACTGCATTTGCAGATTTAGAAATAGCAGCTGCAAAACAGACCTGCAATTTAGAAGCCTTTTTGAGGGAAAGAGAGATAAATGTCAAAGCTCAGAGTCTGCTCAAAATAGAGAGTCTGATAAACCCCTATATTAAGCGGGGACTCGAAATGGCTTCCCCTTACAGGGTGAACTGGAAGTCAACAGCTTTGTGCAGACTTACAAAGTAGCTTCACTTCCTCTGAGCAATCTAGTGAACATCAAGTCTGAAATCAGGATTAGGGTGGTTCCAGACTGGTAGCATCCCTAGGTTTCAGGCAGAAGCAAAGAAAAACCCTCTCTGGAGGAAGATAGCATCATCTTAGATCTCAAATTATTTTTACAAATAATTTTTCAAATACAAAATTCAGGACACAGTCAAAAATAATCAGGCACACAAGGCAGCAAGACACCATTAATAGGAATCAACAGAAATAAGAGAAACATCAGATATTAGAATGATCAGACACAGATTATAGAATAATAAGATAATAAAATAAGTTTACTATGTTCAAAGAGGAGCCCTGGTGGTGCAGTGGTTAAGAGCTACAGCTGCTAACCAAAAGGCTGGCAGTTTGAATCCACCAGCTGCTCCTTGGAAACCCTATGGGGGAGTTCTACTCTGTCCTATAGGGTAATATGAGTCAGAATCGACTCGATGGCAATGGGTTTTTGGTATGTTCAAAGAACTAAAATGCAGGCTTTAAAATTTCACCAGGACAAATTATTTTTAAAAAATCTACATCAAACAAATTCTGGAAATGCAGAAAATCAATAAGAAGAAGACAGTCTTAAAAGGAAAAAATAGATTCCCTTCAAGGGCACGACAAACTGACAGCTGACTTCTCATAAACGACAATGGAAGCTAGAAAACGGTGGAGCTATATCTTCAATGTGCTGAAAGAAAATAATTGCTAACATAGTTTTATACCCAGATAAAATATCTTTTATTACTGAAGGCAAAAATAAAGATAAACAGACAAATAATAAGTAAAAATAAATGGCAGACTCATCCTAAAAGAAATTCTACAGAATCAACTTTAAGAAGAAGGAAAATGTAAAATTAGAGATACAAAAAAGGAACGAAGGGCAAAGAAAGTATGAGAATAAATCTAAATGAACATTGACCATATAAAGTAATAGGATAAACAACACTTTGTGGAATTAAAAAAAAAATCTATAGAGTTAAAATTCATGGCAACGATAGTATATAAATTGGGAGGGGGTACATCGTGATAAAGTGTTCCAAGGTCATTGCACACTTCAGGTAAAGGTATTAATGAACAGATTAGTGAACATTAGTAAGTTACAAGTCTAGACAAATTAGGGGAAGAATAGAAACTGCATGTGCTGTTGTTAGGTGCCGTTGAGTCAGTTCTGACTCATAGTAACCCCGTGTACGACAGAAGAAAACACTGCCCAGTCCTGAGCCATCCTCACAATCTCTGTTATGCTTGAGCCCATTATTGCAGCCACTGTGTCAGTCCATCTCATTAAGGGTCTTCCTCTCTTTCGCTGGCCCTCTACTTTACCAAACATGATGTCCTTCTCCAGGGACTGGTCCCCCTGATAACATGTCCAAAGTATGTGAGATGAAGTCTCACCATCCTTGGCTCTAAGGAGCATTCTGGCTGTACTTCTTCTGAGACACATTTGTTCATTCTTTTGGCAGTCCATGATATATTCGGTATTCTTCACCAACACCATAATTCCAAGGCATCAATTTTTCTTTGGCTTTCCTTAGTCTGAGCTTCCAGGCTAAGATACACTAGGAAGAAGAACCTGAGGGCCTACTTCTGAAAAAAAATTAGCCAGTGAAAAACCTTATGAATAGCAGCTGAACACTGACTGATAATAGTGCTGGAAGATGAGCCCCTCAGGCTGGAAGTCACTCAAAATATGACTGGGGAAGAGCTGCTTCCTCAAAGTAGAGTACACCTTAATGACCTGGATAGAGTCAAGCTTTTGGGAACTTCATTTGCTGATGTGGTATGACTCAAAATGAGAAGAAACAGCTGCGAACATCCATTAATAATAGGAATGCAGAAACTGTATATAAGATGGGATAATTAAAATACTCAACATAAAAGATGTCAAGAAAGAAGAGAAAAAGAAATATAAATAACATGGAACAAATAGCACAAAAGATGGTAGACTTAAACACAACTACATCAGTAGTGCATTAAATGTAAAAGAATTAAATGTTCCAGCTAAAAGATACACTATCCAAACACTAACCAAAGGAAGCCTCGTTTAGTTATGTTACTATCAAATAAAGTAGGCTATCAGGCAGAAAGGACTGCTAGAAATAGAGGATCACTATATAATGGTAAAGGAAAATACAACAACTTTGCATTTGTATATAACTAATAACAAGGCCTCAATATACATAAATGGAAAATTGACAAGAGGAAATAAATCAATTCACAATCATGGTGGCACATTTTTAACATATCTTCTCTAGTAAAAGAGTATGCAGACAAAAATAATCTATTACAATATAGAGGATCTGAACAATGCAATTAATAAATGACCTATGAATAAGACAAATAGAAGATTTAAAAAATAACCATATATTGGAACATAAAACAAGTGTCAACAAATTTCAGATGATTGCAAAATGTATAAAGTTTGTTCTTCAGCTACAGTGCAATTATATTAGAAATGACAAAAAAAAAAAGATAGACATATATAGGACACTCCACCCAACAACAGCACAGTACACATGCTTCTCAAGTGCACATAAAATATTCTCAAGATAGACTATATATTAGGCCACAAAACAAGTCTGAACAAGTTTTAAAAGACTGGAATCATACAAAGTATCTTCTCTGACCACAATGGAATGAAATTAGAAATCAATAACAGAAGGAAAACAGGAAAATTAACAAATATGGGGGAATTAAACAACACGTAAACAACAAATGGGTTAAAGAAGTAAAAAGGGAAATTAGAAAATACTTTTAAATGAATGAAAACAAAAGTAGAACATACCAAAACTTACGAGACATGGCAAAAGCAGTGCTCAGAGGAAAATTTATAGCTGTTAATGCTTACATTATAAAGGAAGAAATATCTCAAATCTATAACCAAACTTTCCACCTTAAGTAACTAGAAAAAGAAGAGCATACTAAATTCAAAGCACGCAGAAAGAAGGAAATAATAAAGATTAGAGCAGAGATAATCATAATAGAGAATAGAAAAACTAAATAGAATCAACAAAATTAACAGCTGGTTATTTGGAAAAGATCAACAAAACAGACCTTTAGCTAGACTGACCAAGAAAAAAGAAAGAAGACTCAAATTACTAAAATCAGAAACAAGAGTGGGGACATTACTATGATCTTACAGAGACAAAAAGGATTGTAAGAGAATACTATGAACACTTGATGCCAACAAATTAGATAACCTAGATGCAAGGGAAAGGAGCCCTGGTGGTGCAACAGTGAAGCACTCAGCTGCTAACTGAAAAGACACTATATAATGATTAACGGGACGATCCATCATGAAGACATAACCATAATAAACATCTACGCAACCAATGACAGGGCTCCAAAATACATAAAACAAACTGTAACAGCACTGAAAAGAGAAATTGACAGTTCCACAATAATAGTAGGAGACTTCAACACA